TTATATGGTGAGAGTTGTGGTCGATATCCTTATATCGGCAGAAAATCCGTGGGAGAAGAGGATATTAGAGTTGACTTCATCTATCAATTTGTGAAGAAAAGATACGTTAAAATCCACTCTAATTGCAGTGTATTTTATACTGCCCCTGACATAATTGGACCACCCAAATTTTCAAACTATGAAGAACCATTTCAGGTAATTATTTAAATAGAAATATTTAAATAGATGAATTTTCCTCCGCGACTTTAACTTTGACATATGTAGCCAAGATCACTCTTCTGAATAACATTTCAAAGATTTAGCAGTCGTTATTGATTAAAAAGTTATTAACAAAAGATATAAATAGAATATAGATTACTTTAACACCGTATTATAGATAGAACTCTAAGTACGTAATAAGCATGTATAGTATAACAAGGTGTATATATATAGACTTATACATAAAAAGGAAGAAGCTGAATCCTTCTTCCGCCCACATGTATACTGTCTATAAACACATATCAGCAAATTGACTTTCCTTAATTAGCACTATTATATTTCTCAAACTTTTTTGTTAATAACGTTTTAATAAATAACGAACGACGGCTAAAACCTTTGAAAGGTTATTCAGGAGAGTGCTCCCTGTAATATATATGTCAAGGTCAAGGTCGTAGAAGGTTGCTCCTTTAAACTAAATAAATATCCTATTTTATTCTTCGTGTTTCAATGGAGGAACATATTTCATAGTATGTGTATTATCCGTTATATTGTCCTGTACAAAGTAATCGGAATCTGAATTTATATGCTACAAGAATTTTTCTACTGTTTGATACATTTTGACTTTTCAAAACAGAAATTGAGTCGATGGAATAATGGTATCGACATTTCAATAACTCCGTGGCAATACGAAGAATTCACGACAACTTATATAAGTATACTATGGCCGCCATGGCATGAACATAGAAGACCGATCGGAAATAATTATATTGGTATGTGATACCTGAATTCACAAGTAAGATATTGTTAAAGAAGATACGCTTTTGTTGAGAAAAGAGTATAATTATATTTTCTTTTTTGAAGATATCGAGTTTCATGAAGCTGTATATCCAATCAGAGTTTCTATATACGAAATGTCACGAAACAATCCTGGAGACGTAATTCAAATTTCGGCTCAAGATGATTCTAATAATGAGTGGTTTAAATTGTGGGAAACTGATTATAAGTCTGAGATTGTACCCCCGACATCAAGATTATTTTCTCCACCCTTATCACACCCGCGTGACTTTAAAACGAAAATGCTAAGACTATTTTTTAAAGACAGAGGTACAGATTTCTGTGAAACACCTCCTTACACAAAGGTAGATGCTGTGATGCTTATCGGTACATCAGAGTTGGTTCGTCCTAGAAATTATGAGAAGAGTTTAAGTAATCTGTTAAAAGAAATTAACTGCATGTACTTTCCACACCATGAGGATATTCATAATTTAACAGCAGATTTCAAAAATGCACACTTAGATATAGATTATCTGCAACGACATTTTTCTGAATATTGCATTATAATGGAATATTGTAAGGATGGAAGGTATTATTATCAACATTAAGTAATATTAAAATCTCTTTCTTCTGTTAATAATAAAAATGAATTTGTTCCGATGTTATTTGCAGCTACATAAGAAGGGTTTCTAAAGGGAGTATTTTGAGAGAGAATTTGATGCACAAAAATGTATCTCTGAAAGTGATTCATCATTCGAATTGTGCAAAACCTATAAAACTTTCTTCGGATGAATCCAAGGAGCTATCACGTTGCAATATATCTGACCTTCCTGTAAAGTATTCTAAGAAGCCTATTTTTTATAATATTTATTGCAATGTCATCTCGTGTATTAAAGTTTTATATTTTATTTTTGCAGGATGAAATGTTACTAATAATATTAAAAAACTTGGATCTGATGACGTTATGCCGCTTGAATTATGTAAATAAACGCTTCAATAATTTGATACAAGACCCTCGACTCTATACACGTTTGAATATACACTGTTTCGCAAACTATTTTGTGAATTGTCGGCTATCTATGGCAAAACGCGATATGAGCAATATATTTTGTTACTTTACATCTAGATGTAAATATTTGCAGCAGTTAGATCTTACAAAAAGCATATTTAGTGTTGAGGATTTTAATAACTTTCTTGATAATTGTGGCAGACGTTTGACGCACTTAAGATTAGAAAAATGCTGTTCTATCAATAATCTTGCCCTACTTAAAATTTCAGAGATATGTGTAAATTTGAAAGGTACGTATATACATATAAAGTACATGAAACATGTGATTGTCGGGATTATTGATAAATTGTATATGCCTAACACATATTTTTTTTTTAGAATTAAATCTAGATTGTTGTCGCATAGACGACGAAGGATTTTCGTATCTCGAGAAATTAAATAATTTGGAATATTTAAACCTTTGTCGTACAAATATAAGAGTCGGACGCCTTCACAAAATACTGCAAAAAAATCAACGGATGCGTGATGTCGATTTTAGATATTTATTCTTGAGTAGAGCCGCAACACAGTTTATAAAATTTTGTCCTAACTTGGAAGTAATACGTTTAGAGGACTGTATTAATTTTACATCGCAGGATATTGACGTTCTCGCTGACTGTAAGAATGTACGAAAAGTGTATTTTCCCAAGTAAGTGTGTGCTTCTTAATTTTTTTTAAATACATGTTTACTATATTTTTTATTGAAATTTGTATTTGCTTCTCTTGCATTTCAAGGATCTTGAAAAAGTTACATTAATTTTCTTTGTGCTTCTTCATAGAGAAAGTTGTGTTTCTTGTATATAAAAAGAAGTTCTTTAACTTTATAAAAATTTTGAATGTTTT